TTCTTCATAGATGGCCTCAAATAGTTGACACTAGATCTTAGTTTGCATTACATGCACAGGTACCTGAAACTTCATCTCCTGGTGCTAGAGGTTTGCTTTGAAAGAGGGATTTCAAGAGCAGTAACGTTGCTCCATAAAGTAAAAACCTTTACAGATGGAAAGCACTATCATAATATATATGATTTAATGACTGTATTGCCATGATAGCACAATATTACTCTGTTCTTAGTTTTTCTTTTCTAAACTAATCCATGATTTATTATGGAACAACTCTACATCTTTGTTGAAACAAGGCTACTCTTTTACTGTTCAAACTCTATTAGACTTCTGAGTTTGATCCAGCTTTTGAAATGTAGATTTTTTTTTCTGGATTTTCTATCTTCTTTCCCATTTTTCTAATGATTGGAACTACTTTTATCCTCAGATTGGACGGAGATTAAGTGCTCCCTCTGATCTTAATGCCAGTTTACCTTTGACGCAAATTCTAATCCAATTCATAGTTCAACAGATGGGTGGAAAGACAGTAGTAAGCATCACTAATAGAGATTTGGAGCTCTTTTTTCAAACAATTGACTTATAGGCAAAATATTAGATTATTTTCCTCTCTTGGGTCAAAAGGCATTTGTTAGTCGATAGCTGCACATAGTTAATCAAAAAGAACATCTCAAATTCAAGTCCTCAGGCTACAGCTGGGGAGGATTTGGCTCACTGAATATTTCAGTACAGATTTATAACATGACAAAAAAGTTCCCTTTTGATTGATCCCTTAAGGGAGCTGTGCCAAATTGGTGGCTTTTGGTGTAGGTTAGTGCTCCGCTGTTGAGAGACTGTGCACAAAGAGCTCTCTTTTCACATTAACACCTATCCGACTTCAGGGATGGCACACACGCAGTCATTCATTCTGAGGCCTATCAGATCATTCTGCTTCCACAAGCCTGCTGTTTTCACACGGGCTGGTAAGGATTTCTGCACAGTTTTGTGCAGATGACTGGGGAATATGTTCCAACATGAAGATGGGTAATTAGAAGCTCTCATTAGTATTACTTGAGAATGGCGTGACTCAGCTGGGTATCGCACAGCAAAATGTTTTCACTGCACCTTCATCTATCAAGATAACAAGTTCAACCTCACATTTTAAGAGGAAAACTGCAACTGCCTGGTGTTACTTAGCTTATTCTTACAAAAGCTGCTGTTTCTGAAGTATAATTTTTGAACATACTTTTACACCGTATTCTGCTGTAAATAAGCATCATTTCTTACAATTAAAGAGAGGGAGGAAGTGCTTTCTTCAAGAGGTTAAATATAAAAAATTAACAAGCTTATCTGTTTTAATAAGCCTTGATAACGTAACTTAAAACTCTGGACTTTATACTGAATTGGTGCTGTTACTTTATTTATGGTCAGCAGGATCAGGCAATGCTTTTCACTTTCTGGGTATTTTGAGTTGTTTAACAGTGGATCAATCATAGGAAAGGAAAAGGCTGCACAGGAAAGTGTGTCACCTCACTAATGTATTACACAGCTTCACAGTATTGAATGCATACCAGGTAAACCCCAATAGAGCTTAGAAAGGGAAAACTGAGTGATAAAAGATACGTTGCCTACCCTTGAAACACCGATATCTCAGAGCAGCACTCTTATATGAAACAATGGGAAACAATCTTCTTTTTTCCAACTAAATTAAGAATGAAAAGCAACTTTCTAAAAACCCACCAATTACAGGAACCTGCAAATTCTTATACAACGTATTCTTGTTTTCTTTTTACAGAGGGAGAAGTTCATAAAACTGCTGGATCAATTGCACAATTCTCTGAGGATTGATTTATCTAAATACAGGGTATGTGCAACATCTTCTATCTAGAGAAATTTAGTTCTGTAAATTTTGTGTGTGTGTAAATATCCACGTGCACGTTATCTGCTTGAAGAAGTTTTAGAGATTAATCTCTCTTGTGGCATAGAAGCTGAAAATCTTGGGTGCTGACATGAGATGTCGGATCCTATGGGACAAAAGTGTGCAGAATTTATGGAGTTTAACCAATTTGGAAAAAAGTTATTCTTTCCAAAAGCTAAAAATGGATCAAAGGATGAGCAGACATTTAAGAAAGAGTAGGATTTAACAGCTTGGATTAGATTAATCCATAACTTGATTAAGTTAATTCATTTGGGAGTTACCTTTACTGACTCATGTAGGGTAAATGGTAGGTTAGGGCTGTATTTACTCTGAGAGGGTGACATCTTTGCTACAACTTTCATGCTAAGATCAGCTATGGCTTTCCTGTCAGCTTCTAGAAATGGCAGCCTCCAACTCAGGGATTTCTCTGTTCATCCGCCCTCCTTTCTAAAACTGAAGGAGAAAGGAAATATTTAAAAGAAAATAACCTCAAGCCATTTGAGGCAGTAGAAGTTGCACATACTCAGTTTTTGAGACCATCTCCTTCATGCAGCAGAGATGTTCATCCTAGGATCCCTTAATCTTGAAGAATGTTATCCAAATAACGTTGGAGCATGAGGATATTTGGCTGATGTTTCATTAGTAGGAAGTCATTTAAATAATACTTGCCATCAGTCTTCCTGTAAACCTAGAGATGATAACAAAAATTTCATTTACAATTTCTTCATTAAGCCTACTACTGCATTTATGCCTACAAGTGATTTATGTACCACGGAGAACCCCTAAATTATTTTCATTAGCAACTTTTTCCAGTCTTTTTGTAGTATTTTTACTCCATTAATGGTCTGAAAATATCACAATATGCTAAATCGTTCATATTACAAATAACAGGAGCTTTATCAGAAGTGCTCCTATTCGTGTCAAAGTGATACTCATCAGTGACTTCCTCACAGGCAGAATTCAGGTAACATGTGAACATGGCAAGAAACATCTTTGTTTTCCTAGAGCATTTTTTTCCCAACACCTCAAGGATCTCACCTGTAACTCCAATTTCACATTGGTTTTCTCTTTCTGATTCACAGGATAACTTTCCTGCTAGCAATTCTGAAAGGCTCCAGGATCTGAAATCAACTGTGGACCTGCTTACCAGCATTACCTTTTTTCGAATGAAGGTATTGTCCTTTATTTGCACAATGGCTTCTAAAAAGATGCTGTTGCCTTTTTTTTTACCAGGAAAATCATACTCTGCTTAATACTGTTAATCAATTAATCTCCTTCAGTTTTAAATTAAATCTCCTAACTTACTGAAGACCATTGAAGTAAAGTAATTTAATTCACACTTTAATTCATGCCTCATTTATCATGTGAATAATTACATTTAAATAAAACTTAGTGCATTTACAATTTATTTGCTGAAGTATGTGTTTTAGTGCATCTTTAAACTAAGATCACCTCAAGTCGACACGATTTTAAATATTGTTATCATTATTGTATTCCAATACTTTTCTACCTGTATTATAGAACTACATTAAATTGGATTTCTTGTGTCCGGTCTAATTCTGACATTCTACCATTTATGAAACATTCTATTAGGTCCTTGAGTTACAGAGCCCACCTCGAGCCAGTACCGTGGTGAAAGACTGTGTAAGAGCCTGCCTGGACTCAACTTATAAATACATTTTTGACAACTGCTATGATCTCTACTTCCAGTTAGTGGATCAGGTAAGGCCAATATGAACCTGTTTCATGCTATTGTTCATCCATTATTGTTAGTTTACCATCAAAAACCCAAAAAACATTCCAATATTCCTTTATATCAAAGCACTCAGGTTGTTTTCATTTTATTTATGTGAGAAGGAGCAATATATTATAAACAAACCCACAGATTGCTATGAAGTCTCAAATGTTTAACAAGATGAGGTTCAAAATGAACATATTAACTCATAACTTAGTCATCACATTGGACATGGCTGTAAAATTGCCCAGTAGCTTTGGGGAAAATAACATCAGATTGATTACTCTTCATTTAAGACCTGTAACTGGAAAATATTTTTATAAAAATCGAATATTTCACTTCAGTAGCTTTAGAAAATAAGCATTATAATTTGCTGAAAATTATGTACTGTTTTTCCAGCCTTATGTTTTGACACCTATGATACAAACTTGGATCCGTGTTAGTAACTGCTTCAAGAAAGCAGAGGATAATTCTATAACATTTCTTAGTGTTAGTCCATCAGCCCAAACTGCCACTGCAAAATAATTATAGCGTTTGTTGTGTTCCAAATGCCATGCAAAAGTCTTGATAATTTTTTTTGCTATAATATGGCCAGACTTTATTCTCTAAGTAATGTTAAAGTTATGAAATTTGTATCTGCGAAATTATACAAGTGTCTAAAAGGACCATCACTGCTTTATCATATTACCTCTTGTTCCTTATTTTTGCCTATTGTGTGGTACACTGGAAAAAAGGTATTTCAGTGACTATTCCTGCCTTGAAAAGGATGAATTAAGTTGTTTGGCAAAGGCATATTTGCTGTGTAGTATATAATAGATAAGAACAGTCACACTACGTTATACAGGACATTAAATTTTATCTGAAAGCACATTTCACTTGAATCCAAAATATGAATTCCTGTATTTCAGGAGAGGCTATCTATTCAGGAGTACATGCTATATATTCAGCTTTTCTCAAATGAGAATTTATTTTCTAATGTTGGATTCCTGTTATGTGAGAAAGCCCATCTCTAGCTCCCAAGCTTTGAACACAAGAAGTTCTTACCAGCACCCATAGGCACCCCACACACTGCCTGCTCATCTATGTGTTTATTCTCCAACAGATTATATAGCAAGCTGGGTAGCAGTATAAATTAGTAGAAGGAGCAGCTTCAGATATGACATCTATTTGCCTCAGAAACTGTTGTGTTTTCTTGCTACCATTTACTCTGCAGCAACTTTAACACATTTCACAGTATCTATATGCCTCTTCTATTTTCACCCAGCAACCTTTAAAGCAAGTGAGTTTGTATGCAAAAACATTTAGACAAGTGTCTATAGTGTTATGGTCACTAGCAAGTACAGGAAATTTCAGTGAAAATGTGAAAAAAGCAAAATTTAAAATGAAGATAAATAGACCATGTTCAAAATAACTCATGGCTGACAGTAATCAAACAGCAATCACACGTAATCTTAATAATGGACAGTAAAACTTTTCTTTTCCACAGCAGATGGGAGGCAATTCTGAGAAATATATTCTAATATTGCCTTAATAGAGAGATTAGTAAAATAATTCAAGTTACTACCTAAGTTTTGTATCATCTTTAGATTTGCACAAGGAAACTTCAGCATTATCTTCTTATAGTTTGCTACCTATATATCTAATTTTGGGAACAGCTAAGTATACAGCTTGATGGGACCTATAGTTCTGGAAATTTTCCAGTGAATCCAGGTGCACTGAAGACTGGCACTGTTATAATAATGAAGCAGCAACCAATATAGTAATTAACGTTTCATTAGCTTTGTGCCCAAACCCGTTAGTCCGATTCCACCAGATTCCACCATTAGGCCTCCTTCATTAACCATTCTCTTATCTCTGCCGGCCTCCTTGTCAGATGAAGCCTCTTCCTATCAGAGGGAGGAACGGAGTTCATCCTAGCATGGTGATGCAGCAAAGGAGATTCATGTTTTAGCTGAGATTTGAGCTGTGAGTAGTGAGAACTGAAACCGATGGACCTCAAAGCAACAAGAAATGGTTCATATGTAGGTCACCACCTGCTCTCACTCAGGGGAAAGACTGAGTCCTGCCGAGACCCACTGCAGGCTCAGGGTTTTAGCATGGTTCATTTCTTGCCTGAATCATATTGTGGATGATGTTATGAAAAAGCATCTACTCAAGCAGTAGTATTTCCATCTGGCCAGAAGTGGGAGGTTCCTGCATGCTACGTTTACTACCTCTGTGTGTTACTCACGTTAACCACCTTCTGCATTTGCTTTTGTATTCAACCTGAAATTCTCACAGATGTCTGCCACAGTATTTCTAGAAACAAATGTTTAATGTGTAAGTGTGTGCGACTGTCTGATTTTGAGGTTAAAACAGAACAACGAGTGACATTGTGGATGCTCAAAGCTGGAGTTTGAGGAAATTTGTCGCTATGACAAGAGTAACAAGTAAATCATAAACATATGCTCAGCAATCCCTGCTTTCTCTTTTGGCCCTCTTTTCTCTTATTACTCTCTTCCTTAGTGTGAGACAGACAATCACGGCTATAAAGCAAAGATCTTGCTGCACACCCCTAGGGAACAGCAGTATTTCCTGGAGTGGCGCTTGGCAAATGCTAACAGTATGCAAAAATGTCATAGTACAGTTTCATATCAGAACACAAAGAACGACTGATGACAAAAACCAAATGAGTACTACACACAGTGAAACATGACATCTTGACAGTCTCACTGACAGGTATATTACTGTCCTCGTTATTTGAGACAAAACACTCTGGTGAGGAACTCCATAATCCCTTATGCAGCAGATGTATTTCCTCCTTTTAATTAACACTGAGTGAAGTGTTAACTTATGTTGAAAAACAATGCCTTGAAAAAGCAGTTTAGGAAGCACTTCAATAACTTTCTGACTCAATTGACGAATATGTTATTATATCTGTTTTCTTTAAAAAATGAAAAGATATTGAAATCTTGGCTGACGCTTACAACGACTGAAGTCCCTTCAATAATGCTTTTTGCCGTCTTCTCCACTGGGTGAAGCAAATAAAATGCAAATCAAACTCTTCTAATGGTACAGAAGTGCCATTAAAAATTTTTCATCATCAAAGACTGGTCTATAAATTGCATACTGGAGTCTCACACTAATCAGGGCTGCTGCTTGGTTTTCATTCAGCTTCCATTCTACCATTATTTATCTAAAAATATGATATTCTGAAACTTAGCTTGAGACTTGCATCAGACGCAGTCTTTGTGCAGATTAGTTTCTGAAATCATAGAATTGGATTTGTCGAAGTCGCATCCAAAGAGATGTTGTGTATTGATTGCACAGAACATAACAAACTAAAACCAAAGGAGAATAAAACCAGATGTTTGTCCTACAAACTGCAGTCAATGCATGACTATAATGAACAGTGAGAGAATTTGAAAGCCCTGTGTTCCTCAAACCAGTCTTTACAGATTTTTCTCAGGGTAATGCAGATGTAGATTTTAATACTGCTTCACGCTGTGCCTCAGATTGCTTTCTCCACCCTCAGCCAGTTTTCCAGAGTGCAAAATATGTTTGCTTGTCAACAGCTTCATCTTTTTCTTCTTAAATTGTGAAAAATGTGTCTACATTTTCTCTTTAAGAGAATATCAAAATTGCAGCAACTGGTTTTGGTGCCTCTGTGCCACATGAGCTACAGTTTGTGTATGAACTTAGGTGACTGGGAAATTCATAGTAAAAGGAAGTTGAGGAAAAAATGATTTAGTGCAAGTAAATAATTTATTTTGTTACATATCTTGTGAAGAATTATTCTTTCTTACTTTCTGTTTCTGATTTTGATATATTCTGTGGTTAAAAGCACCTAGTTTGGATCTTGCATTAAAAAAGAGCCATAGAAACCACAGTATTCCCTATGTCTGTGAGTCTCCAGTGAAAAATGTGACTTCTGTTTAAAGATGCCTTACTGATAAGGTATTTGCGTTTATCTGGTTTTCCAAATTAATTACAAAGCCCTCAATAAAATGAAATATCCTAGAACAAAACGTATTACAAATTACATGAAAACACATCCACGATGAAACATTATTAGTGAAATATCCTGTAACAAAAAGTATTACAAAATAGGTAAAGAAACATCTATTAGGTTGTCTTTCAGCTGGATTCCTAAAATGACCAAAACCGAATGAAGACAGCTTCACCCATTTGAGCACATCTGACTGACTGTAGATCTACAAAATAGTTTGAACTTTTTTTCTCTGAAACTAACTGAAATTCTACCCAGAGCAGCTTAGTACACTTGATGCAAAGTGAGGAACTAATTGTATTTTACATTAGTCCTATGATGCTCTTTAGGATTTTCTTTTCAAATGGATGTGGGATCACTGCTGAAGGCAGTGTCATTCTTGGCACTGGCTGCTGTTTGGATTTTACCCTATTTCATGTGTTCCAAATAGGTTTTCATATGTCTTTAACTAGTGTTAATATACTGCTGTAGGGATCTACTTAGAACTGCCTATTAAAGTCAAGTCAGCATTCCCAGTGACAAAGAATTAATATAAAGACACACAATTTAAGAATGCATCGTAAAATCTAGTGCCCGATGACCAGATTTATGATTCACTGAGTAAATTCCCTGGACATAGTTTCTGTATAAGTCAGGGATGTTGGCTGAGATCGAAACCAAAGAGATTTTAATTAAAGGAACTTTCAGAATCTGGGATTCTTAGCAACACAATCCTACGCCATTACACAGTTTACTATGCCTCTCAGATTTGCTAACAGAAAAGTTTTCAAGCCAAATAAATTGTATCACTGAATTTTTTTGGATATGAAAATAAGTCTGTTTCAAGTCAATTTTTTCCTCCAAGATGGAACTTTCTGTTGTCACTTTTGGAAGTTTGCAACTAACCCATAGTATCAAACTTCCAACATTGTTTTACCTCATTATGATCCTTCTGTGAAGGCTTCTGTTGCCAGAAGCTACACAAAAGAGATAAGAATGCCAGCAATGACAACAATTAGTGGAAAAACAGCTTGAATTAGTCTGACCATTTCAAAACCATTAGTTGGATTTTAGGATAAAGAATGGAAATTACAACTGGGCATGGCAGAGTATCCACTTTCATTTCAGAGCATAAAAGTACATCTGTTGGTGTGAGACAATTGTTAAAAAGCCTTCTCTGGAGATCTGGAAAAGATCGTCTTGATTTTTAAATTATTTCTCCGGACTAAATGTGAACTGGCTTTGTCTTCTACAACTGCCTTTTAGTTGGCTTGCCATAAGCATGCACTAGCTTCTGAGAAAAAAAGGGTATATTAGAAATAAATCTTTGACATAAATCTCTTGCTAGAAGTGTAGGGTACACCAGGTGAAGCCCTTGTGAGTGATGTGAATGCTCCAATATTCATTTCTGCTTTGACAAGCACTCTTGTTTGCACGTGTGGTTGTAAACTGCAGGTGGTATCAGTCACACCCCCCACTGGAACTGTTTCTATGCCTCACCTTTTTCATTGCTTTAGACACTGAAGCTGTAGCATTTGTAGATCCGCTGAGTACGTAGCAGTGTGATTAATGATACTTTTCTAAAATATTCCACAGTGATCACAAAACCAATTTCAATTAAGTGTTGTTGAAATTCCCTTTGCCATTCTAAACGCTGTTAATAGATAAAAGTTAATTGAGGTTAAGATAACATTTAATTAATTCACTGTGACACTAATATAGTGTCATATCTGTTCAAAGAGATACGAGGTTCATTGAAGTGGTCATATTTGGACTACAAATGAGAAGTACAGGGAATATATACTTAAACTTGCAAGACAGAGGGCATGTTTATTTTCTCTGACTTACCAGCTGAGTGAAAAGAGCTTTTCTGTCTCTGACAGCTGTGTGGAAGAGACCTAGCACGTGCAGACGTACCTCTGCGTGGCAGAAATTATATGTGTGTGTGTCCATACAGAGAGAAAAATATTTCTTTCCGTATTTTGCTCTCTGTGATGAAGTTATTTATTGGACATTGATAAGAAATCTGGTCCTTCTGTCAAGCAAATAACTAAAAATACTCTTGTCTAGGAAACTGTAGATTGTAAATTCATAGATTAACACTGTAGAGACAAAATCTGGCTATAAATGCACATTTTGCTGAGATTTAAAAAAAAAAATTCTCAGTAAAACTTTGTAAGTGATGAACATTAATAGATACTAAGGTATGTATAGAAAGGTGCAAAATGCAGGCTTTTAGTCAAATGGAATAAAATGCACTGCATTACTTACCAACTTGTAATTAATGAGTGTTAAGTGTTGTTGACAATCCATTTGCTGTATCTGTGTGACATGTCCTTCCTCATGATTATTACAAAAATATAATGGGACATCTCAGGTTCTCTGCTTTGGATGTGAAACTGGTTGCAGTTCTCTTCATTTACAAGGAGCATACAGAAATCCCTCTTCCCTGGATAAAAAAGGAATCAAATAACAGATTGGTTTTGCTCATAGCTTTAAAATCCTTGGCAAGGCAATACCTTCACAAGCTCCTCATTTGGACACCCCTATATACCTTTTCCTAATGTTTTTATGTGTCTGGGGATTTTTTCCTCCCTCCTCCTTTGTGTTTTCCATTACCTCTTAAACCCACACTTTGTGGTTCTGCCAGTCAATCTGTGCATCCCTAGAAAATCTCTGCGCAGAATACTTTGAGAAATAGCCTTTTTTGTTTTGACTATAAAAAACTAAAGGGAAATTTAATCATTTAGAGTTAACAGCGTTGCAGCTACTAGGCCCAATAACTTCAGTGTAAAATCAAAACCAAAAGAAGAAATGTTTCTTGTCATTGATTTGTTCAGTATTTATTGTATAGGCTATAACATTTCTGCCTCAGCAGACAGTTTTACCTGCACTCAGTTTCAGCACAACAAAGAATTTAAGAATGTCTTTAATGTGGACATGCACTAAAGATCAAGTCCTGTTGATCATCTTTGCTGACCTGGCTGTCTTTGCACTGTAAATGTTTTTTTGACAGATGTCCACAGCCAGGTACATTCTGTCATACAATCTACTCGAAGGTGGCTATTCTGGCAGAAATCCCATCATATTTTCTCTTGTTTCTCTAATATAAAATATATTCAATCTTATTCTAACAGGGTAAGAAACAAGAAGTTCCTAAAGAAGAGCAGGGACCGACAACAAAGAATCTGGATTTCTGGGCACAGCTTATTACTCTGATGGTCACCATCATAGATGAAGATAAAACAGCGTATACACCTGTCTTGAACCAGTAAGTCATTACTTTCCTCCTCAAAAAATTAAGAACCATGGATTTAGTAGAATAAGGAAAGGAAATACGCCTGAATCAGTAGCTGCGTTTTAAATATAATCTAGCTAGAGATTTTTAAAACTACAGAATATAACATTGACATAGCTTAATAAAGACCTGGTGCTCTGATCATGGAAAGAACCTTCTGTTTTAGGAGCACTAAAGACACATGGTAAATGAACCATCCCAAAAAGTTAAGTAGCAAAATATTATGCAAGAGAACTAAATGAACAGACAGAAGGAAAAATTCCATGAAATAGCGTGATGGTATTAATGTTATGATGTATCTTGGCACACAGGTTGTTCAAATTATGCTTAGACTTCTGTAGGTATTTTAATAGAGTTTTAGGGATGTGTTCATAAAAGAATAATGAACTTCACGAAAAGACTCTCTCCAAATTTGTGATTGACTTGAAAATGTATTAAATGGAGAGCAATATCCTGGACTTACCAGAGATGGAAGTCGACTTCTTAGAATTTAAGATGTAACAGATGAGGGGAGGTACTATCAATAGCCAAGACAAGTTGAATAATTTATGGTTGATGCACTAGCAGAGGAGACAGAGCCAATCACTAAACACAGGAGGAGCAGATAGAATGCTGGGGTTTGAAAATAAATATATAGAAGGGGTGTAAAGGAACATTTTAAGGTTAGGGAAACAGATGTCACACTAATTGAAATGTGATATGATGAGGGTCTAGGGGAAAGTTTTAGCTCTTTTAGCTCTTTGGAGCTACTTTACAGAAATATTCTAGAAAACCCGGGCGTAGTCTAGCTGTGTTGACTTAACGCAAAAATTCAGATGTGGTGCACTCAGACTGGACTGGAGGTAAAGAAATTAAGACAGTTATAGTTAAAATACATTTGAGCTTTTGAACAACAATCAATTTTGTGTTAGTAGAATTAATAAAAAGTTCTGTAACTGGGAAACCATTAGCATAATGAAGGCATATCAGTGATCAGAGCTAGCAATTCCTTCTAATTAAAGTGACAGAAATAATGAGCTGTTTAAGTACTTTTCCTTTGCAGATATCATCAGGGTCACATATCTCCCTGGAAATAATTCTGGAAATAATACATTACTTAGCTTACATATCCACCACCTTAAGTTGCACATCATTCTCATTCTTCGCTGCAGTACCAACAACAGTTTTACCACTCAGCGGTTCTGTGCAGCGCTCCCTGCTCTTTGTATGACCTGCTTTGATCTCCTTCTGTGCCCTGAGAACTGCTCCTGTTAGTGCCAATCCCACCCCTGCAGTAAGGACAGACTGTTGAGGTTTTCTTGTTGGGTTTTTTTTAAAAAAGGACAAATAGTTCTCCTTTTAAATATGATGTGAAACATGCAGTGTCTGTCACTGAAATGTCAGCTTTTGCTAGTAGCTAACAGTGAAGATGGTAACTGAAAGATTAAAGCTTTTCTGTTCCATAGAATAAGAAGCAACTGGAATCCATGAAAAGGTTGTGAAAAAATACCTACTTAATAATAGCAAAAAATATCTAAAGGCCTGTTTTTCAAAGATGAGATGAAGCACAAGACCAAAACTAATAGTTTTAACCAAAAGTTTGCATTTTTCTACCTTTTCTATCCTTTACTGTTTTATCCATACTTCAAGGTGAAAACCTTCAAACAGTGAATTGGATTCAACTGGCATAAACCAATAGAACTTCACCAACAACTTCAGTATTTTCCAGTGGAACAAGGGAATTAAGGAAAACCTGTAGCTGTTAAACATTCGAGCCAACTGTTTCAGGTTTTTCATAAGCCATCTGATTTATCTAAAGTTGAGTTGCAGGACAGATGAATGTTCCTTGATTGAAAATGGCATGGGAGGGAATTGGTGCGACATACAACTAATTACTTGCTTAGGCCACTGACATGAGACTAAGGGAAGATTTTGTTTGGAGATTGGCTGGTTCATAAAATTGTACAAAGCACTAGGGGTATTATTTTGTGGTAGTATTTGCCTTTCTGCTGTGCAGCTGTAAGTGTAATTTCTAGCAGCAGGTGAACTGACATAATATGATTGATTGCAGGTTCCCTCAAGAGCTGAACATGGGAAAAATCAGTGCTGAAATCATGTGGACTCTGTTTGCCCAGGACATGAAATATGCTCTTGAAGGTAATTAGAACTATTAATTACACTAAAGAGTTCACAATGACTGATTGCTACTGCAAATCACAGCTGGCATCAGATTTCTGTGGGTGCTAAGAGTTTTCTGACACACTAAAGATGTTTCATAGCTTAGTGAAAAAGAAGCATTGTAAAGGAAGAAGATTACTGTGCAGCAACTGTATGAAGTTATCTGTGGAAGGAGACAAAAGAACTGTAACTTAAAATGCTACTTATTACCTAAACCTGGCAAAATCAGCAATGTCCAAAGAACCACACATGCACTTGCTAGAGAGCATTGCAGGTATTCTGTATTTTCTTACTAGCTGAAAATTGCTAACATGCCTGTAAGAAAAATCTACAGAGTGAAGCTGTGGAGAAAACACACACTAATAATGAAACCTTTATGTGTTCTAAAGGCAAGTTGTGGTCATTCTAGTTCCTACAGCATCAAATGCAGTTTTCTTTTATTCTTTAAGACAGTAATGTAGTTAACCATAGGTAAAATATTTTTTTTCTTTATAAGCAGATAATCTCCAACTAATGGTTTCAAACCCACTCATTCAAATATGGTTATTAGCAAAAACCAAGTAAAAATAGCTGCATTAACCTATTTTTGAGATATGACATCTTGCCAGCTCACTTACATGTATTCATGAGAACTTTCAGTTTGTTATTAACGTCATGACTCTTGAAAATCAGTTCATCAGACTCTCCCTAACTAGTAGTTATTTCTGCAGAATGAAAACTGATGGCATTAGCTAAACTTCACTAA